TTAATATATAACAGAACTTGAGCAAGTTATAACCTCAGTTTTCAAATATGTGTTGTAACGATCATATAAACGTTAATGACATCCGTGATTCATGTTTTGTTAAGTTGTTATATTTATTTTTATACGTTTTAAGATATATTCATCAGAAATCGTCTATATCAAAAAGAACACGTCGCAATACAATATGATTCCAGTTGTTGTTTCAAAGTCAGTATTCGATATCAGACCTTTTAAGGTACGCGTCCATAGGTACGCATCGTACGTATCGTACGGATCGTATGAAACGGATTTTAGAATTATTAGTATAGTAAGTTATACATATGCGTCCACTGGCCGGCAGCGGACGGATCGCACGTATCGGTCCGTCGGTAATGCCGACGAAATTGATCGAAGGGGCAACTTTTCCGACTGGTGCGGATGACGTCATACGGATTGCCGATAAGTGGACGCGTGTCACAACCGGTCGTCACTGGTCGCCACACTGATCATTCTGTTGTATTTCGACACTCAGTACACACGTGTTTTAATTATAATATATTTATTATTTAAATTATAATTATTATGGACATCGCAAGGCTAATAACAATTGTACAAGAGTACGAAGAGTTGTACAATTTAAAACACCCTAATTACTCGAATCAACAAAGACGAGACAACATTTGGGAAGAAATTGGTAAGAGATTAAATCAAACTGGTAAGTTTATTCATATTACAATATAATTAGTTAGTAAAATATAGTTATTTAGGTACAAAATGTTTAGTTAATCACTTTATCATAGAGTCACGTGAACCTCCTTCCAGCTCGAACTCTCCTTAATTGCCATTCTACTGACCCTGCTGCTGAATTAAAATAACTTTTGAAACCATCCCTAACTGCTAAAGCATCTGTTTTCGAATTTCCACCTATATTTCTTAAGTCTTGCAGTCCTCTCATGTTGGAAATAGAAATATTCAAATCATTTTCTGTCCAGTGACACGTGTCATTTCTTAGAAAGTTGTGCAAGCAACATGTAGCCATTACAACACTCACAATGTGTTCTTGAGACATAGACAACTTACGTTCGAAAATTCTAAATTTCCGTGCCAATATTCCAAACGTATTTTCCACAGTGTTTCTAGCACGACTCAACCGATAGTTAAATTTTTTCTTCGTTTCTTTGTGCATCGTCGCGTGAGTATGGTCGCATCAAATTCGTGCATAATGGGAAAGCTTCATCACCAATTATGACGTGAGGTAATACGTCACTGCCCCCGGGTAGTATTTTTGGTGAAGGTATATTTAGAGTTCCATTCTGTAAGCTTTTACCCAAATTAGAATTTCGCAAAATGCTAGCATCAGAGTTTTTACCAAAAGCCCCAATATCTACGACTATGAATTTATAATTTGCATCCACTAAGGCTAATAGCACCGTACTAAAGTGTTTTTTATAACAAAAATAATTTGATCCACTGTGCGGTGGTGCCTGTATCAACACGTGTTTCCCATCAATGGCAGCAATCGCGTTAGGAAAATTCCATTTTTCACGAAAACCTTCTTCCGATTCTCTCCATACTTCTTCAGATGGTTTAGGCATTACTAGTGGCTGTAGAAACTGGGATATGGCTTCGCAGGTTGAGTAAACGATTCTTCGTACTGTGCGTTCACCTAGCCTAAAGGAAAATGAAATTGAACGAAAAGAGTTCCCAGTGGCCAAAAACCTGAAACAAAAGTAATGGCAACCGAAACAAGGTTAATATTATTCTAAATACTCAAATACCTATAAATAAATAGCCTAATATACGCGTATCCTTAGTTATAAAACTGAACATTTTATAATTTTTGGGTTCTGAATGAAGTGATGAATGTATTGATTTTACAATGATGTGTGTTTATTTTGTTTTTTTATGTATCTACATTGTAAGGTAATTTTTTGAAAGTTACACCAAAAGCCAAAATTGGTTTTGTATTGTAAAATTAATACATTCACCACTCCGTACAGAATATAAAACAAACACGTCGTAAAATCAACACATCGTTAATCGCCTTGATCATAATCTAAAAATATTGATTCATTGTAATGTATTACAGGTAATGCATGCAAGGAGAGATGGACCAGAACTAGAGACAACCATAGGAAGGCTTTGAATCTGCGCAAAACCAAAAGCGGCCAAGCAGCATCAAAACTGAAGCCTCCCAAATACTATAAAGAGCTCACTTTCCTCACTCCGTATTTGAATGACGAGGAAGAGAGACTTTCAAACCTATCGCCACCTATTGGTGATGATAGTAACGGTGATGAAGAAGAGCTTGAAATATCACGTAATCTAAATAATTTAGATAGTGATACAGTAAATGAATCAAGTGATACACAAGAGTCACAACCAACATCGTCATTGTTATCATCACGAACTGTTGGTAGGAAATCGAAGTTTGTAACACCACAACAACCAACTGCAGCTAACGTCCTTCAGGAATATTTATCAAAAAAAGAACAACTCAACAGCATTCAGAGTGATCCTATGGTTGAATTTTTTATAAATATGGCAAAAACAGTCAAGACTTTTCCTATTCGAGATCAAGTTCATATTAAGGCGCAATTGTTTCAAATGGTTAACAATGTAGAGATGAGCATCGCGTTAACTTCACCAACTTCTGTTTCCAACGTAACGATGCCTCCGCCACAATCAAATTATTCAAGGTTTTCTACACCGTCTACTTCAAAACAAACATCAAATAGAACAATGTATTTTTCACCTACCATGAACGAAACTCTGCATATTCATTGCCCGTCACCTGTAACGATGTCTCCTTCGCCTGGTTCAAATGTAATTATGACTCCGTCACCTAATTCTAATGCATCGATGTCTCCTATATCTAATTCAAGTGCTGTTATGTCTCCTTTGCCTAATTCAAATGCCATTATGACTCCTTCACCTTCCACAAACGAATTTTCTTATGCGCAGGATCAAGATAATCAATATCTAAGTCAATTTTTAAAATTTCCTAATATAAATAATGTATCGGAATAACTTTGTTTTGTACCACATTGTAAAAAACTGACTCAACTAGAATAAAAAGCAAATTGGTTTAAAAATGTAATCGTATTGTTTTTCACATTGCGTTTGAAACGATGTATCTACTTAATATTTAATACCTACCCAATAATTATATTTTTTAATATTTAAAACTAATTGTTTTTAATACATACCTTAAACACACAGCAAGTTTTTGTTCTGGTTCTATGGCCTCTCTGTATGTTGTATTCTGTCTTAATATATGAGGACGTAAGATGTCAAGAAGAGTTGTGAATTTGGCATGAGACATACGAAAATACTGGAAGAATTTTACATCATCGTTGAGTAAATCGGTAAACAGTGTATGATATTCTCCAAATTGTGACCTTTTTTTGAATATATCATGTATCCACATTCTATGTTTTCTCTTATTTCCTCTACTTTCTTCTTCATCTTCTTCATCTAATAACAAAGTAATAATGACAAGTTCTTCATCACTTTCCATGTTGTCTATTAGGTACACACACTGTAATACTGGATTGTGTAATGTACTGTAATGTACTGATCGTTCACTCGCAACGAAAATGCGAATGTAAATAAAAAAATCCGACCGTCGCATCGGAAATCCGATCGCTACGGATACAATGGACGCACTACCACAAAATGATCCGTTTCATACGATTCGTCCGATACGTACGATGCGTACCTATGAACGCATACCTTTAGCAAGAAAAGTGTAACAGTCGGATTGATGGTTAATAAAATTATTTCTGTTATTATAATACTACAATGTAATTTTACTAAAAAAATGATAAGTCTGGATTTACAACAGTGGTATACACTAATGTGCGATACCAATTATAGTTCAATAACTAATAATCTACATACTAATTGTAAACGTATAAAAATAACTGATAACATATATTATTCAGTTAATTTAAATCAGTTTACTATTAAATTGATTGTTAATGATAATTTTATCACCTTATCATATACCGACCTTCACCGATTAAAACAATTACAACAATGTGTCGATTCGCATATTGTTGAAAAGCAGAACAAGTTGGTTTCATATCAATCAACTTTCGATACAGTGTATTCATTAATTAAAGCAGACATCAGTATTCTACCATCATCTTGTCAGCGAAGTGATTTTACAAACCAATATATTCAAAATTTTGATTTTAACGTTTATGGTATACAGAACGATGATTGTTGTTTTATGTATGAAATACTTCAATTCTACAATAATT